TCTATCTATCTATCTATCTATCTATCTATCTATCTATCTATCTATCTATCTATCTATCTTACAGATTACCAATATCAAGAATGAAAGAGAGGACTCACGACACAGCCTATAGACATTAAAAGGTTAATTGGAAAGTGTTAGGAACTGCTTCATGCCAACAAGTTTGACAATGCAGATGAAATGGATACATTTCTTGAAAGACACTGTGTTAGTTTCCATTTGCAGCTGTAATAAATTACCAAAAACACAGTGACCCAAAAACTACACAGATTTAGTATCTTACAGTTTCAGAAGCCAGGAGTCTAAACTGGGCTTCCTCTGGCTGAAATCGAGGTATTGACAGCACTGTGCTCCTTCTGCAGGCTCCAGGGGGGGATCTGTCTCCATCCTTTCCCAGCACCCTCCAGCTGCCAGCATATTCCGTGGCTTCTGGCTCGCAGCAGCAATCACATCACTCTGACCTCTGCTTCTCTGGTCACATCCCCTCTCTGGCTTGGTTTTTTAAAAAATTTTTTACTTCCATAGGTTTTGGGGGAACAGGTGGTATTTGGTTACATGAGTAAGTTCTGTAGTGGTGATTTGTGAGATTTTGATGCACCCATCACCCAAGCAGTATACACTGAACCCAATTTGTAGTCTCTTACCCCTCACCCCCTTCCCATCCTTTCCCCATGAACCCCTACAGTCCATTTTATCCTTCTTATGCCTTTGCATCCTCCTAACTTAGCTCCCACTTATGAGTGAGAACATACGATGCTTGGTTTTCCATTCCTGAGTTACTTCACTTAGAATAATAGTATCCAATCCCATCCATTTGCTGTGGATGCCATTCATTCCTTTTTATGGCTGAGTAGTATTCCATCATACATATACCACAGTTTTTTAATCCACTCATTGATTGATGGGCATTTGGGCTGCCTCCACATTTTTGCAATTGTGAATTGTGCTGCTATAAACATGCGTGTGCAAGTATCTTTTTCATGTCATGACTTATTTTCCTCTGGGTATATATCCATTAGTGGGATTGCTGGATCAAATGGCAGTTCTACTGTTAGTTCTTTAAGGAATCTCCACACGGCTTTCCATCGTGGTTGTACTACTTTACATTCCCACCAGCAGCTAGAAATGTTCCCTTTTCACTGCATCCATGCCAACATCTATTACTTTTTGATTTTTTGATAATGGCCATTCTTGTAGGAGTAAGGTGATATCACATTGTGGTTTTGATTTGCTTTTCCCTGATCGTTAGTGACGTTGTGCTTGTTCTCATGTTTGTTAGCCATTTGTGTATCTTCTTTTGAGAATTGTCTATTCATGTCCTTAGCTCAGTGTTTGATGGGATTGTTTGCTTTTTTCTTGCTAATTTGTTTGAATTCCTTGTAGATTCTGCATATCAGTCCTTCGTTGGCTATATAGATGGTGAAGATTTTCTCTCACTCTGGGTTGTCTTTTTACTCTGCTGATTGTTCCTTTCGCCATGCAAAAGTTCTATAATTTGAGTAAGTCCCACCCATTTATCTTTATTTTTGTTGCATTTGCTTTTGGGTTCTTGGTCACGAAGTCTTTGCCTAAGCCGATGTCTAGGGGGTTTTTCCAGTGTTATCTTCTAGAATTTTTATTTTTTCAGGTCTTAGATTTAAGTCCTTGACCCATCTTGAGTGGATTTTTGTGTAAGTTGAGAGATGAGGATCCAGTTTTATTCTACGTGTGGCTTGCCAATGATCCCAGCACCATTTGTTGAATAGGGCCCTGTCTCCCTCTTACAAAGACTTGTGATTACATTGGATCCGCCCATATAATCCAGGATGAATTTCTGATCTACAGACCCTTACTTTAATAACATTTTTTAAAGTCCCTTTTGTCATGTACAGTAACACATTTACAGGTTCAGGGGACGAAGATATGGGCCTCCTTGGGAGGCCATTCTGCCTACCAGAGATGCAAATACCAAAATGGATGGACAAAGAAATAGAATACCTGAATAGTCCTGTATCTATTAAAAAACCTGAATGTGTAGTTTAAAAATCTTCCCACAAAGAGACCTCTAGGCAGACATGGCTTCATTCTGTCAAGCACTTAAGAAAGAAATGAACCTTAACTCTTCACACTGAACACAAAAATTAACCTGGAATGGATCATAGACCTAAACTTGAAAGCAAAAACTATAAAACCTCCAGCAAAAAACCAAAAGAGAGCATGCTTATAACTCTGAATAGGCAAATAATTTTTGGTACGACACAAAAAGCATGAACCATAGAAGAAAAGTCAGTATATTTTCCATCAAAATAAAAATCTTTGCTCTTCCACAGATATTAAGACAATGAAAAGGAAAACTACAGGCTGGGAGGAAATATTCGCCATACATACATCTGACAAAGACTGCTTTCCAGAAGGAAGTCTTATGATATAGTTTAAATATTTGGCCCCGCCCAACTTTCATTTGAATCGTAATCCCCAGGGTTGGAAGTGGGGCCTGATAGAAGGTGTTTTGGTCTTGGGGGTGGCTCCCTCATGGCTTGGTGTTGTCCTCAGGATGGTGATGAGGTCCTGTGAGATCTGGTTGTTGAAATGTGTGTGGCACCTCCCCCTTCACTCTCTCTTGCTCCTGCTTTTGCCATTTGATGTGCCTGCTACCATTTTGCCTTCCACCATGAATAAAAGTTCTGTGAGGCCTTTTCAGAAGGTAAGCAGATGCTGGCACCATGCTTCCTGTACAGGCTGCAGAACCTTGAGCCAATTAAACCCCTTTTGTTTATAAATTGCCCGATCTCAGGTATTTCTCTACAGCAATGCGAGAATGTCCTAACACATCTTACAACTCAAAAATAAGAAGGCAGACAATTCAATAGAAACAGTGGGCGAAAGAGATACACAAATAAACAATAAAACACATGTGAAGATACTCAATAGCGTTAGTCACCAGGAAAAGACTTATTAAAACCATATTGATATGCAACTACTCACCCACTCAAATGGATTAAATAAAAAAGGGATGAAAATACCAAATGTTAGCAAGAATGTGAAATACCTCAACCTGTCATATGTTGCCGGCAAGAATTAAAAATAGTACCATCGGCCGGGCGCGGTGGCTCACTCCTGAATCCCAGCACTTTGGGAGCCAGGCGGATAACCTGAGGTCAGGAGTTCAAGACGGGCCTGGCCAACATGGTGAAACCCCATCTCTACTAAAAATACAAAAATTATCTGGGCTTGGCAGCAGGCACCTGTAATCCCTGCTACTTGGAAGGCTGGGGCAGGAGAATCACTTGAACCCAGGAGATGGAGGTTGCAGTGAGCCGAGATCATGCCACTGCATTCCAGCTTGGGTGACAGAGCAAGACCCTGTCTGGAAAACAAAACAAAACAAAAAAAAATCACTTTGCAAAACAGTTTGGCAGTTTCTTATCCAGTTAAATACATATTTTTATGTAATCTGGCAATTTCATTTCTATAATTTTAGTCTTGATAAAACATATGAAACATGTTCACACAAGGACTTGTCCATTAATAATCACAGCCAAGGCTGGGCATGGTGGCTCATACCTGTAATCCCAGCACTTTGGGAGTCCAAGGCAGGTGGATCACTTGAGGTCAGGAGATCGAGACCAGCCTGGCCAACATGGCGAAACCCCATCTCTACTCAAAATACAAAAATTTTATGATGTTTCCCTTCCTGTGTCCAAATTGAATTTGTTCAATTCCCATCTGTGAGTGAGAACATGCGCTGTTTTTTTTTTTTTTTTTTTTTGTCCTTGCCATAGTTTGCTGAGAATGATGGTTTCCAGCTTCATCCATATCCCTACAAAGGACACGAACTCATCCTTTTTTATGGCTGCATAGTATTCCATCATGTATAGGTGCCACATTTTCTTAATCCAGTCTCTCATTGATGGGCATTTGGATTGGTTCCAAGTCTTTGCTATTGTGAATAGTGCCGCAATAAACATACGTGTGCATGTGTCTTTATAGCAACATGGTTTATAATCCTTTGGCTACATACCTAAACAATAATTTCTTATCTATGCCTGGTGGAGATCCTAGTACATTACTTTGCATATATGCATCTGGCAGGTACTTTACATAAAATTATTATAGGAATGAATGATTTGGTTGATGCTGATTAGTATCTCTGAGCTTTTGCTCATGCTGCCCTTCCTTTCTGGAAAACTCTTCTCACTTTAAGAGTCACTTCCTCCTGTAGTTCATTAATGTTTGTCAAATAGAATGATCTATTCCGAAGTTTCTGGAAGAATTAGCCCTTGCTACAGAGGGCCTGGTTTATTTAGTTTGTGTTCCCAGTAGAAACAGCCAAGACTGTCCTGAGGTCTCACTCCCAGAGAAAACGCAGCATGAACAGCATTCCCATCCCAAGTTTCATCATGAAACATGGCTGAAGGAAGGAGTAGGACCAGATGCTCTTTAAGGTCCCTTAGAGCCCCAGGATCATTGTGTTCTGGGGAATTCCCCGGCAGAATAGATGGCTGCGAGCAAGAGGCGAGTGTGAGCTCTCCTCCTCAGGTCTCTAGATGGATTCCAGCCTCTGGAAGGCTAGGACCTGGGAAAAGAATTTGCGCCCCTTCAGGACCCCACGCCTTCCTCTCCTCCAGCTCATTTCTCTCTTTCTTTGCCCCCATCTTCCCCTTTTCTTCTTCTTCTCTGCCAGCTTCTCCCCTTCTCTTCCTTTCTTTTCTGCTTCTCTCCTCCTACCTGTCCCACCGCACCTTCCCAGTATCACCACTTCCCTTTCACCTACTTTCCCGTCTTATCAGTCAGGTTCACCGTCCTTCTCTGATCGCCTGCGTTATCTTGCTTCCCTCCCACGCCCCGACACAGGCTCCCTCTTGCTGGCCTCCTCCCTCTCCTCTCAGCCCACCGGGAACCAGAGTCTCCTCTGGACGCCAAGAGACAGGAAAGGGGTGCTCTGGGCCGCGGCCTCACCCGTGGTGAGTGTGTGACGATCGGGGTGGCGGTGTCGCCGCGCTGGTGGCGGGAGGGAGGCTGGGCCCGTGGAAGAGGACCGCTGGGCTGATGGGTTCCCGCGCCCTCGCGCTCCCAGCTGCCAGCCCAGGGGCAGGTAGGGCGCAGGCGGCGGTGAGTGGCATCGAGAGCCTGCTGGAGAACCCGGTGCGCGCCGTGCTCTACCTCAAGGGTTCTGGGCCATCCATCGTGCAGAACCAGCAGAGCCTCGTCCACGTCCAGCGCCAGCGCATCGACGAGCAGGAGCGGCGGCTGGACGAGCTGAGCGCTGAGAACCGCAGCCTCTGGGAGCACCAGCAGCTGCTGCAAGCCCACCCTTGTGTCCGCCATCGTCGTTCCCGGTACTGGCCTTCTGGGCCACTGCTCTCGCCATTACCACTGGCGGCCGGGAACCTCCAGGACCAGGGACAGCGCTCAGCCGCCGCGCCACACCCCGCGCGCGAGCAGATGCCGCTTCAGCACCACGGACAGCTCCTGGCGCAGCCCAATCGCCCCACCAGCTCCCGGGACACTTGGGGCCGCTACATACAAGGAGTAGGAGGGTCTACCGAGTTGCTGCGCAGCTCCCGGAGTCCTTCTTCAGTACAAATCCCCCGCGCGCTCGGCAAGGGCGTCCTGAGCAGGAGACCTGAGTGAGCGGGGAGGAGTAGATGGGCACTGCTGTGGTGGGAGCAAGGGAAGAAAGTGCGTGTGAGAGGGAGACGGGGAAATAGAGTGCGCAGGAGTCTAAAGGACCGGGGTGATGTGGCGTGAAGGGGTGAGAAGATGCTTGGGAACAAAACCGTGACAGGAGATTTGGGGATGAGGAAGGAATGATATCCGTGCTTCAGAAAGTTTTGGAGAACGTTGGAGCAAAAAAGGAGTCAGCAGACCATCGGTAGGGGCAAAGGAGGAAATAAATGGGTCTAAGCAACTGGGGACGTTGAGAACTGGCAGATTTAAAGGGGACTAGACTGGCAGGAAGTTTGAGTGAAGATTAAACTGAAGAAAAGAGAACCATCGAAATATTTTTTTTAAGTTAGGAAAAATTTGGAAGGGAGTTTGGGTAGCAAAAGTATTTGAATGGAGAGTGAGATGTGAAAATATGGAGACTGGGAAAAAGGCATGTGTAGAGCTTTAACAGGGCTGGGGCCCAGGAAGAGTAGGACTTAGGTAGAAAGGAATTCAGGAGGCAGAGGACATAGCTGAAAAGCAGGAGTGATGTGGGAAAGCAGGCGAATTGGAGGCAGAGGAAGAGAAAGTGTAGCTCTTTACCTGTTGCAGTGGGAGTCACAGCCAGGAGTGGCTCATTAGGGGAAGCTTTATCTGCTCTGACTGGAGGGGGCACCGTTCTTCTGAATTCCCGCAGAGCTGAAGACTGGCAAAGAAACATCCAGTCAGACTATTGGAGGACTCAGGTATAGCTTGAGGATTTGGTGTGGTTATAGCTTTTTCCTCCGACTCAAGAAGGATTTCCATGCAAGGTCGTTGGCCATCATGGAAAGGGAATGATGATACGGGAAACAGTTGGCAGATGGAATTGGCATTTGGATGTCCTGTTTAAATCTTCCTGTTAAGGCCAGCAACTGCAAACCTGATTTCCTCTTGGTTATTTGCTGATCACTGAAATCTCATCTTGGGTCCTGAGAAAAATGTTAACTTCTCAGGACGTAGGGCCTCAAGCGCTTTCTTCATTCATGAGGTCCATGAACTGGGTATATGGGAAGAAGACATGAAAGGGGCTGGAATGCTCTCCCTCTGTACTGGAAGGCTGTGGCTATGTCAGCTTTATTTCTCTGGTTAGACAGGTCATGGGGAACAAAAGGGAAGAACAGCTGGAGGAAATCATACCTGGTCAGCACCCAGCCTTGACAATGGTGATGCTAAAGGGGATGGGGAGGGGGAGAGCAGAGCTGGGAATCTCATCTTCATTTAGTTTCATGTGTGCTTTAAGTCTGGGGGTACTCGTCAATATTTCCTGTATTCCGTAAAAGCTAATTTTCTTCTTGCATCTGCTGTAGAGTTACAGAAGTTGGGTTAGGGCATGTTAGCTCACAGAGTAGGTTGACCAGAAGCATGGAATCTGAGAGGTGATGATCTAACATGATCTGGCTTGGCAGACCTACAACATTCTATTCAGGCCCCCCAAAATATTCTGTTTTCTACCCCAACTTCCTCAATGGCCCATTTGTGCTTCCCTCAGTCCCACATTTTTGTTTGGTTTCGGTTTTGATGGTGGTAGTTTTGTTTACTTGTCTGGCAAAACAGAAAAACAATTTTCCCTCAATGCTGAAATCTCATCAAAAAGGAACATTTGGAGGGGTACAGTGGCCCACACCTGTAATCCCAGCACTTTGGGAGGTTGAGACGGGTAGATCACCTGAGGTCAGGAGTTCAAGACCAGCCTGGCCAATGTGGTGAAAACCTGTCTCTACTAACAATAAAAAATAAAATTTTATTTGCAGGCAAGATGGCCAAGTAGGAAGAGCTCTGGTCTGCAGCTTCCAAAGAGATCAATGCAGAAGGCCGTGATTTCTGCATTTCCAACTGAGGTACCCAGCTTATCTCATTGAGACTGGTTAGACAGTGGGTGCTGCCAACAGAGGGTGAGCTGAAGCATGGTGGGGTGTTGCCTCATCTGGGAAGCTCAAGGGGTCAGAGAACTCCCTCCTCTAGCCAAGGGAAGCTGTGAGGGATTGCGTCTTGAGAAACGGTGTACTCCAGCCCAGATACTACGCCGTTCCCACAGTCTTCACAACGCGCAGACCAGAAGATTCCCTCAGGTGCTTACACCACCAGGGCCCTGGGTTTCAAGCACAAAACTGGGCGACCATTTGGGCAGAGACCGAGTCAGCTGCAGGAGCTGTTTTTCATACCCCAGTGGCATCTGGAATGCAAGTGAGACAGAACTGTTTACTTCGCTGGAAAGGGGGCTGAAGCCAGGGAGCCAAGTGGTCTAGCTCAGCAGATCCCACCCCCATGGAGCCCAGCAAGCTAAGATCCACTGGCTTGAAATTCTCACTGCCAGCACAGCAGTCTGAAATCGAGCTGGGATGCTCGAGCTTGGTGGGGGAGGGGTGCTTACAGCACGAGGGCCCTGGGTTTCAAGACGTTTCACAGGGAGACCCCCTAGATACTCACATCTTTACCCACAGTCATAAAGATGTTTCATAAGGAGACAAAATCTAGAAGAAATAGATAAGTTCCTGGACACATATACCCTCCCAAGACTAAACCAGGAAGAAGTCGAATTCCTTCTGAAATTCTGAATAACAAGTTCTGAAATTGAGGCAGTAATTAATAGTCTACTAACCAAAAAAAGCCCAGGACCAGATGGATTCGCAGCCAAATTCTACTAGAGGTACAAAGAGGAGCTGGTACCATTCCTTCTGCAATTATTCCAAACAATAGAAAAAGAGGGACTCCTCCCTAACTCATTTTATGAGGCCAGCAACATCCTGATAACAAAACCTGGCAGAGACACAACAAAAAAGGAAAATTTCAGGCCAATATCCCTGATGAACATCGATGCAAAAATCCTCAATAAAATACTGGCAAACCAAATCCAGCAGCACATCAAAAAGCTTATCCACCAGGATCAGGTCGGCTTCATTCCTGGGATGCAAGGCTAGTTCAACATACACAAATCAATAAATGTAAGCCATCACATAAAGAGAACCAATGACAAAAACCACATGATTATCTCAATCGATGCAGAAAAGGCCTTTGATAAAATTCAATATCCCTTCATGCTAAAAACTCTCAGTAATCTAGGTATTCGTGGGACATATCTCAAAATAATAAGAGCTATTTATGACAAACCCACAGCCAATATCATACTGAATGGGCAAAAACTGGAAACATTCCCTCTGAAAACTGGCACAAGACAAGGATACCCTCTCTCAACACTCCTATTCAACATAGTATTGGAAGTTCTGGCCAGAGCAATCAGGCAAGAGAAAGAAATAAAGGGTATTCAATTAGGAGGAGAGGAAGTCAAATTGTCTCTGTTTGCAGATGATATGATTGTATATTTAGAAAACTCCATCATCTCAGCCCAGAAACTTCTTAAGCTGATAAGCAACTTCAGCAAAGTCTCTGCATACAAAATCAGGGTACAAAAATCACAAACATTCCTATACACCAATAACAGACAAACAGAGAGCCAAATAATGAGTGAACTCCCATTCACTATATCTACAAAGAGAATAAAATACCTAGGAATACAACTTACAAGGGATGTGAAGGACCTCTTCAAGGAGAACTACAAACTGCTGCTCAAGGAAATAAGAGAGGACACAAACAGATGGAAAAACATTCCATGCTTATGAATAGGAAGAATCAATATCGTGAAAATGACCATAGTACCCAAAGTAATTTATAGATTCAATTATATCCCCATCAAGCTATCATTGACTTTCTTCACAGAATTAGAAAAATCTATGATTAACAAATTAAATATCATATGGAACCAAAAAAGAGGCCATATAGCCAAGACAATCCTAAGCAAAAAGAACAAAGCTGGAGGCATCGCGCTACCTGAATTCAAACTATACTACAAGGCTACAGTAATCAAAATAGCATGGTACTGGTACTGAAATATACATATGGACAAATGGAACAGAACAGAGGCCTCAGAAATAACACCACACATTTACAACCATCTGATTTTTGACAAATTGACAAAAACAAGCAATGGGGAAAGGATTCCCTATTTAAGAAATGGTGTTGGGAAAACTGGCTAGCCCTATGCAGAAAACAGAAACTGGACCCTTTCCTTACACCTTATACAAAAGTTAACTCAAGATGGATTAAAGACTTAAACTTAAGACTTAAAACCATAAAAACCCTAGAAGAAAACCTAGGCAATACCATTCAGGACATAGGCATGGGCAAAGACTTCATGACGAAAACACCAAAAGCAATGGTAACGAAAGCCAAAATTGACCAATGGGATCTACTTAAACCAAAGAGCTTCTGCACAGCAAAAGAAACTATTACCAGAGTGAAGAGACAACCTACAGAATGGGAGAAAAATTTTTGCAATCTGATAAAGGGCTAATATCCAGAATCGACAAGGAACTTAAACAAATTTACAAGAAAAAACAAACAACCTCATCAAAAAGTGGGTGAAGGATATGAACAGACACTTCTCAAAAGAAGACATTTATGTGGCCAACAAACATATGAAAAAAAGCTCATCATCACTGGTGATTAGATACATGCAAATCAAAACCACAATGAGACACCATCTCACGCCAGTTAAAATGGCAATCATTAAAAAGTCAGGAAACAACAGATGCTGGAGAGCATGTGGAGAAATAGGAACACTTTTACACTGTCGGTGGGAGTGTAAATTAATTCAACCGTTGTGTAAGACAGTGTGGTGATTCCTCAAGGATCTAGATCCAGAAATACCATTTGACCCAGTAATCCCATTACTGAGTATATACCCAAAGGATTATAAAGACACATTCTACTTTAAAGACAAATGCACACATATGTTTATTGCAGCACTATTCACAATAGCAAAGACTTGAAACCAACCCAAATGCCCATGAATGATAGACTAGATAGAGACAATATGGCTCATGTACACCATAGAATACTATGCAGCCATAAAAAAGGATGAGTTCATGTCCTTTGCAGGGACATGG